ATCAGTGGACATAAGAGTCAGTAAGTCATTGAAGGAGTCTTTGTTCGACATGGAAATGTAAATAAAAAAATGGAAATACACAAAACTTACCTGCAGAACCAAAGCTGGTGCTTTGGCATTGCAAGGGCTCCTGGAACTGAGGTGCTTCCAAAGTCCCTCTGCAACACGTGTGAAATACCTCTCGAGGAAGGAAAGCAAAGAAAGCTGGTTTGGTTTTTCTGTAACAACATCATTTTGCCTTCCAGGAGCGGATACTTTTGCTTTGATGGCACAGCGTTGGAAAACATTTCTGAAACATTGTTAAGTCAGGACCATGTTCAGAAACTCTCAACTTTTTGGCTGCTTGAGTCAGTTTTCTACTGCCTAAAACACACAACCCCAAACTTAAGCACCTTCCTGTTTCAGCACTCTTTTATTTATGCTTTACCCGTGGCCACTCTGGAGCCATCACTTAATACAAAGAAAATACAACAACTCCAGAAAAACAACCCACAGACCTTCTAATCTGAGGGTGGAATTTGAGAATACAGAAGTGTCTGAAGGTTGGAGGAACTGAGTGTAGAGGAACATGATAATGCAATTGGAAGTAGAAATTACATTTGATACGTATTTAAGGGAATGAACACAACAGGAAGATCTGTGCAAAGGACACAGCAGCACAAGCACAAACAATCGGAGTCCAGGCAGGAGAACTTTCTCCCTTTTTCTCCTGTGTGTGCAGAGTGAGGTGAACAAAACGAAGCAAAAGTTGATAGTAATAGCTTTAATATACTTTTTATACTACAGAAGTGGGTATTGTTTCTCAAACTGGAAAAATCAGTGAAATCACAGCATTGTAGGAGACTAAACACTTCACAGCAGAGGGGAGGCAATTAGCACTCCCAAGCTGAATAGGTTTAATTGCACGTGTGGTGCTGATTCAGGTCAAAATTGTGCCCAGATTCATCATTGTTCTAGTTTAGGAGTCCTATTATGCTTGTTTTTTATTCAAATCCTAAATAATTAAGACAACTCTTGATGGCTTTACACGTAATTAATTATATAATAAGTACAAGTAAGTTAATCAGCATTAAGATCACAGGTCTCAGGTGATCTTTAAGACCCACTAAGCCACCCACCTTCTGAGCTGTGGCACTTCATCATCTGTCAGCATTCTCCAGCCTTCTTCCATGAAGTTGGCTTTGGGAAGAGTCACAAGGAAGGAACCAAATTTAGGCTATATCAGGATAAAAGTGGGGAAGAACAATTCCTTGACATGGAGTACCCTCCTTTTCTCCTTGTTTTTTCGAATGATACTCATACTGAGCCTGTCTGTGAGTAGAGATGCTTAGAATAGATTTGCTTAGTTGGTTGGGATAACTTGAAAGTCCCTTAGTCAGACCAATAGGAAATTTATCTGTCATAACTAACAACTTAATTTCTCTTGGAAGCTGGTCAGTCAAGTGTCCTCTCATTTGGGGGTGATGCCATGACAAGCTACACTTCTGTGGATATCTTACCTGTTGTCAGTGCTTTCAGTCAACATCTTTCCTGTTCTGGAGCAAAACCACAAGTATCCTTTAGTGCTCAGATCATGCTGGTCCTGAGAGCACAGCATTTTAGGACTTGTGTTAGAGAACCACCCTCAGTTTCCCAGGAAACAAGTTCTCAGCTGTGGTTTTGTCTGGGTTCTCCTGCTGGGGTGTGACGTGTTTGCAAAAAGTCGGAACAGGAAAGAGGTTTGTGAGCCAAACACAGGGTGGTTAAGGTGGTGTTTGTTTATTATGATGCACCATTGGTACCAGTTTCTGTTGAACAGTCAGTGCAGCCACCCCTGCAGGGATAACACTCCATTTTATGCTCTTAGCCCTCTACTGCTTTCTTGCAATCCCTCCCTCGGGCTGAGTTTTCAGACCTAATTTTGGATTAAAAGTTGCAATGTGGTCTTCTCTCTGCAGTGTTGGTGTATTTCCCCCTGACCAGTAACAATCACAGTCTGTAAGGAAATTACAAATTGCCACAATGTCTGGAGAAATAAGGTACAATTTGGCAGGAGCAGAGGAAGAGATGATGCTCATAAAGTTCCTGTGCTTTGCCAGTTTACTCATGTCTTCTGCAGCATGGAGGTGATGTCATGAACAGTGAAAAGTTTGGTAAGGATTCCTCTCCTCTGCACATCCCCTGTTCCTGCTGATCCCAATATTACCATTTGCCTGCAGCTCTGGAATGCCAGCCCCTGAAATCTGTCGCTGAAGTTACCCACGAATTGAACTGAGCAGGCAATCTGTCATTTCAGTCCTCTGTGCCAAGATTTCAATCCATGCTTATACTTGGAATCCTGATAGACCCTTAAGTAAATATTATTGATTAGTCATCATTATTTTTTACTGTTGATATGCAGAAGGTTGTGGAACCTTGTGGCTGGATTTCTACGCAGTCCACTGGAAAATATGTTTGATTATCGTGTTTGTGTTGGCAGCTGGGCACATCTTTATTGCAGGCTCAGATTAGAGCCTCATAAAGATTGCACAGAGAACCCAAACCAAAACAGAAGCCAGCTCCCTCCAACCTCAGACCAGACAAACCCTCACCCAAACAGGCAGGGATCTTGCTTTGCTCCTGGTTTCACATCCTCTTGGGCACATTAACCTTGGGTGTCTGAAGTGGTTTTGTCCCAGCTCCAGGATCCCCGTGGTCTGGGTCAGAGGGATTGAACTTCTCGGCCTTGTGAATCACAGACCTAAATCTGCTCAGGGGAAACTGAACTGTGAGTTACCTTCTTCCCCCCTTCATTAAACGTGCCCGACCAAATATATCCCTGCCATGCACTGATTTGAGCCAGGAAGCAATTAAAGCTCCTGTTCTTGCCAAATGATTGAGTGCTTGCAGACACAGATTCCTAAGAAAGTATAATAGAGAAAGTGCATTAGCAAAGTATTTGTGCCTTCATAGGAAATGAATATGGATGTAATTAAGGAAAGCTGATTTATGTAGAACTGTAAAACCAGGGACACGAAATGAAAAATTCTCTGTAAATGTCAAGTCAGTGTTTCGTGGTGGCCAAAACAAGGCAAATAGAGAATTGCAATGGTATTAAGAAAGGAGCTGAGAATTAAAATGCCACTTTATAAATCCCTAGTACATGAATATTTAAGACATTGTATGGAGTTCTAAGCACCTGAACTCTAAAGATCATAGAACTGCTGTTCTACTACAGTCTGCTACTAACACTTGGAGAATGGCAAGTGTAGTGTGGCTTCTCTGGGGACATGGAAAAGACAAGACTGAGTATGATGAGAGGATAAGCAGGGTCCGTAAAATAATAGGAAATGGAAAATGGGAACGAGAAATAGGGAATGTAGAATCATGAAATGGGTTGGGTTGGAAGCATCCCTTAAGTTCATTGAATCCCACGCCCTGCCATGGGCAGGGACACCTTCCACTAGCCCAGGTTGCTCCAAGCCCCATCCCAACCTGGCCTTGGACACTTCCAGGGATGGGGCAGCCACAGCTTCTCTGGGCAACCTGTGCCAGGGCCTCACCTCTGCCACAGGGAGGAATTCCTTCCCAATATCCATCTAACCCTGCCCTTTGGCAGTGGGAACACATTCCCCCTTGTCCTGTCCCTCCATCCCTTGTCCCAAGTCCCTCTCCAGCTCTCCTGGAGCCCCTTTAGGCCCTGGAAGGGACTCTCAGGTCTCTCAGAGCCTTCTCTTCCCCAGGTGAACCCTCCAGCTCTCCCAGCCTGGCTCCAGAGCAGAGCTGCTCCAGCCCTTGGAGCATCTCCGTGGCCTCCTCTGGACTCACTCCAGCAGCTCCACGTCCTCCCTGCTGCTGTTCCCCAGTTTGCATTCTAGCAAATGATCAGCATTATGTAAATTTCAATAAACATCCAAAACCTCACTATTTAGTCATCAAAAACTTTGTTTTCAACTTAAAATATCAGGGGTTGCCATGAAATCTCCAAATGAAACATAAATAGATGAAACCTCTTATTGGAGATTCAGTGGGCTTTGGACCCAGAGACATCCCTCTGCACATATTATTAGATCTGATTAGTCTGCACCAAATGAAATTATATATATTTGGAAAAATTACAGGCAAATGTCACCAAATGTACGGTTCAGTCACTGTGATCCAGTTACACAAAGATTCAAAAACTTACAGCTATATTTTTTATTATTTATTATTTGTAGGCAAATGAAATATGAAACATTTGCTCTGAATAGTCAGAAAAGGAGAAACTGTATCTGTACAACTCCACTAAAGAACACAGAAAGAGCTCTAAAGCAGCCCACTAGGAAATAACCTTTGTTTTAAAGTATTACTTAATTATTTTTATCAATGTGATAAAAGACTATCTGAAATATGAATTTATCATTTATCTACAGACTTTCTAAAGTTCTTTTTCAAATAGTAACAATTGTATCTGGTGTAAAGGAATGCAGACAAACACAAGCCAAATAGGCAGCATTTTCAAGACATTTGTTGATTCTCCTCTCCTACCATTAATTTTCTGATACAAGTACCCCCCAAAAAAAAAAGGACATAATTTTTCATATATATAAAGCCATTATCAGAATAATTTCACCCTCCTCCCCAGTGCACATTTGATTGCAAGGGCTTTGGAATTTCTGAGTTCTGGCTCTATCAAACCATGAAACAAAAACTAGTATTGCTCTGTTTGTGTTTCCTTCCACAGGATCTGGAGCAAATACAGACTTTACATTGCAAATTGTTATTTGACATAAGACCAAAAAAATCTAAAATATCTTCACTGAGATGAACTGGGTCTTCTGTTATCCTGAACTTTGTGTTATCAGATCTGCAGAAACATGGAGCTGCTTTAAGACACGTGCTGAGGAAAGAAAGGACACTAATTTAAAGGACATTCATTTAAATGAATATCTGCAAACCACAGAACAAAGGTAAGAAATTCCTTTTTTTTTATGTCCTTACTTGTCTTTATTTCAAAATCATCTTTAGCTGAATAATGATTCCTTTCCAAATGCAAAAGATCATTGAGCTTTGTGTTCTTTATTAAGACTTCATTGTTTTTACAAAAATAGAAAATCATTAGCCTTTATTAGTTTTTAGTTTAACATACAGTTCATTTCTTTTTGGAAGGAGCATTCTGGGAGACAGTGGATTTAGTTTATTGTTGGTGGTTTGTTTAATTTGTAGTTTATAGCAGGTCTTGTGGTCACCACATAGATTATCAAGCTTCTGCTGTTATATATTAAAAACTACACAGATGTCAGAAAATATTTGACTAAGAAAGTGAATTTAGGACAAACTATCACGTTGTGGCAAACAAGGTCAAGAGCCCCTTTAGGAAGGAAACTATTTCATTGCCTCCCAGTTTGGATTCTCCATAGACACGGTCCACAAATGAAATAGGAACCTGTTGAAACAAACAAAACAACATATTGTTAAGGTTCAAAACCTAAATAATCAGAGATTCTCTACACAAAACAATGGCCTTTGAACTACAGCATTTTCAGACACTGGAGCAAAGCAAGCACCAGACTGGCTTCCTTCGTGTCAGCTCTTCCCAGTGGCTGAGGAGCACAAAATTATTTGGCTTATCACCTTGAAAGATGATCCCAAGACATCACTCAGTGGCTGGATGGTACACCAGTCAGAACAACCTCAGTGTTTTAAGCCTGGGGGCTTCAAATCAACCTCCAGCACTTTCCTTGTTCAGTTCAGTACCTTTGAGCCAGAGCCCCAGGAAGCACCAATATCCCACCAGCACGGAGCAGCTCAGCCTCACCCTGGCTGGGAGATGGCTCCTGAATATGACAGTGCACATTGCCCTCCTTTGAAAAGCCTTGTAAAATTGCATGCAGCTAAAGGAGTGGCAACAGGAAGAGGGAGGGATCTCAGAATCTTATCAGCCAGGGGAATAAGTAACTGGAAATTCAGATCCAGTATTCACCTGGCAAAGCTGGCAAAATAAAGAGTTCTACACCTGTAATTTCTTTATATTAGTTTGAAAATCTTGGCTGCTTCTTGGGAGCACAGGAAGTTCAGTCATCTGTGTGTCCCTTTACACAAAAGCATGAGATCCTTATCAAACTTGTCCTGTACCTCTCCAATGGTGTATCCCAACTGCCTGGCCCGAACAATCATCTCCATCTGGAAGACGTAGCCTTTAGAAACACATTTCTCCATGAGTTTCTGCAGGACTTCTTTTCTGTACAACCTGTAAACAGTTACAAAGAAAATGAAACCTGAAACTTTGGAAATCAAGGCAGTGTGTGGGAATCTGAACTGCAATCCCTCACTCATCTCATTCCTATTTATAAAATCTTGAACAAAGCCATAGGAGCAGCAGTTCTTGCAATCTAGTCCACTATTTCTTCCACCCTTCCCAAGGAGATTTCACAGCCCTCAGTAACGAAGGGCTGTTCTTATTCCAATTCCCTCTTCAGCAGATTTTTAATTTCCAATGAACTCGATGAATTGCAAACCAGAGCCATACCTGAAACTCCCTGTGAGGTCTGATGCTCCCGGTCTCAGCAAAACCTGAGTCAGAAAATTGGCACCACGGCTGGGAAGGAAAACATGAATGTCAGAGTTGCCCAGCACACAATTCCCAAAGATCAAGCAGAATTTCTAAAAAATAAGTACATATAATCCCCCCCCAACCCAACAAAACTTTTATTGCTTAATATGAATAAAAACAGATTTCTAGTGTGTTTCAATTCTAGATTTGATTAATAAATTATAGAATCTTGAAATCAAACACCCAATGTTTTGTTTTTCAAAAGCAGATAATTAGGAGATCATTGAACTTCTCTATGAAGAAAAAACAAGGATACAATTTGCCAGTGGTGCACACTTGTGGTATTTAATGTGATTTTGCAGTGCCCAAGCAGGTACAGCAGTTCTGCTGACTAAAGACTCAGTTCAGCTCACACAGATGGCATGTATGGAATTACGATTTATAAATAACAATTTTATGTGTAAATATCTGAAAAACACTGACCTGATTAATTTTCTTCTCAAATCCCAGCCATATACCCCTCCATTTCCTTTATATCTTGTTCCAGATACAATATCAAAATTGCCTTCTTTCTGCTTTCTATAAACAATTGGTTTTATCAGAAAAACAGGAGGAATATTTCAAAGTACAAATTTCAGAGTAAGAACAATCACTCTTTTAATACAAAATCTGAAGTTTACAAACTTTTAAATAAGTAAGTAGAGAAGAGAGGCAAGCAGAACTTAGGGTGGTTATAAGCATTATTTAGACACTTGTTAATTGTTTTCTTAAAAAGAGCTACTTCAGGGAATCTTATGATTACCTTTTACCTACTATGGCACAGAATTTCACACAGGAGTTCATAAATAATTTATAAAGATCAACTTGCATTTTCATACTACCATTGGCACCTACCTGATAAACTCTGGAATAAATTTTGGCTGAAATGGAAGGAAAACAGATCAGAAAAGACAAAAGGGCAGGGGTAAAATAAAACCAACCAATTAATTCTAACAGACTAAACCCACAGAACATGAAATACAGACTTACATGGTGAGAGAGGTCAGCATCCATAATGACAATGAAATTCCCAGTGGCATGCTTCATTCCATGAATGTAAGCAGTGCCTGGTGAAAACAGCACAGAAATATTTCCCTCATAACTTTAACATGTGCAATCTTCCAGCCACAGTCTTCCCTTCATTTTCTAAAACCTCCGCTAGAAAACGATCAAGTAAAAAACTCCTAAATTATTTTCAAATGATGTATTAGTGGATAAACATTAAAATTCTTATTCCTTTTTCCCTATGATTTCAGCCCTGGATTTTAAAAATATAAACCTTGGCAGGTCCCACTGCACCAGAAATGCACAAAGAGACTTGACTGCAGAAGTGGGTCACTATCTGAAATCTCATTTACAAAAGCACTACAGGCACTAAAATAGAATAGGACTCAGGCTCCAAATATCACTGACAGTTCAAACCCTCATTCTGCACTCAGGGAATGGGGGTGGGAGGGAAAGGAGCAGGTATGAAGTTGTGGGAAACGTTTTATAAACAAACTGGGATATTTATGTGTGCATTTTTAACCTTGTTTGCTTGCAAACAACTTGATGAAAACATACATTTCTGCTTTTGGGTTTTAGTGTAATTTTTTCTGGACCTTTATATACTAGATCAATCAAAGTATACAGCAAAAATTTTATATTACTAAATCAGAGTTAATAAGGACTTACCCAGGCCCAGCTTTCTTGGTCTGGGTCTCAGAAGCTGCAGAAAATGTAAAAGACGCATATATTACTTGAAGTACAGTTTTTAATTCATTTTAGTGACACCTTAAAAGTTGCTGTTTTCAAGATATGAACATATTTTAAAGTTTAGTTTTAATTTCTAGAGAAAAAAGTTACAGAACACACAACTCACAATTTTATCTGATCCGTATATTTTTTCCAACTGCTCAGCGATTTCCTGTGTCCCATCTGGGCTTCCATCATCAATGATGATAATTTCAAAATCGATTCCACTGAAATGAAAATTATTTTTCAATGAACAAACAGAAACCCCTGATTCCCTCCCTAAATCCTTGTGAAGGGCAGGAAGCTGAGGACCAGAGCAGAGATTTCGTGGGGTCAGAGCCACGCTGTGGGGGGTTCGGGCTCTGCTCCCAAGGAACAAGAAGGAACAGCCTCAAGCTGTGCCAGGGGAGGTTCAGGTTGGACATCAGGAGGAATTTCTTCATGGAGAGGGTGGTCAGGCATTGGAAGGGCGTGCCCAGGGAAGTTTGGAGTCCCCATCCCTGGAGGTGTCCAAGGAACGCCTGGACGTGGCACTCAGTGCTGCGGGCTGGGTGACAATGTGGGGATGGGGCACAGCTTGGACTCCACGGGCTGGGAGGGCTTTCCCAACCTCAGTGATTCCGGGATTCCGTGATTCTGCAGTCCACTCCGGGTTCGGATGATGTTCCTGCCCTCCTCACCTGTGCCGTCCGTGTGTCGGTGTCACCTCCGGGCATCCCCGGCCCTACAGACACCGCCGTCCCCGCTCACCCCGCCCGGCCCCACACCGGGGGTGTAACCGACCCGCCAGCCCCCGGCCCTCCCGTGCCGCCGGCCGAACCTGTCTCGGAAGGTGCGCACCAGCAGCCACACGACGAGCGGCAGGTTGTCGCGCTCGTTGTAGGTGGGCAGCAGCACCGAGAGGCGCTGGGGGCGGTGCCGCCATGTCGGCAGTGACGCGGCCGCCGGAAGCGCCGCCGCGCCGGGCGGGCCGGGCCGGGGCGGGGCGGGAGGAGGGAGCGGCGCGGCCATGGCGGGCGCGGGGGCGGCGCGGCTGCGGGCCGAGATCCGCCGGAGGGAGCGGGAGCTGCGCGGGCTGCGGGAGCGCCTGCAGGCTGAGCTGGCGCGGGGGGACAGCGCCGAGCAGCAGCAGGACCAGGACGAGGAGGGGGATGGAGCGGCCGAGGAGGCGCTGGGGGATGCCGAGGAGGAGCATGGAGACCGCGGGCTGCGGGACCTGCTGGCGCGGGGGGACGCGGGCAGCGCCGATGGTGATGGTGATGGTGATGATGGTGATGATGCGGAGGGGGCCGGCGCCTTCCCTGCTGAGCTGCCGCCGCTGCCGCCCCGCGCGGCGCTGAGCGCGGCCGAGATCGCGCGGTACAGCCGGCAGCTGGTGCTGCCCGAGCTCGGCGTGCGGGGCCAGCTGCGCCTGGCGCGGAGCGCCGTGCTCGTGGTTGGGTGCGGCGGGCTCGGCTGTCCCCTGGCGCAGTACCTGGCGGCGGTGGGCGTGGGCCGCCTGGGGCTGCTGGACCACGACGTGGTGGAGACCAGCAACCTGCAGCGGCAGGTGCTGCACGGCGAGGCGCGGCGGGGCCGGCCCAAGGCGGTCTCGGCGGCCGCGGCGCTGCGGCGGCTGAACTCGGCGGTGCAGTACGTGCCCTACTGCGGGGCGCTGAGCCCGCGCTCCGCGCTGCGCCTCGTGCGACAGTACGACATTGTCGCCGACTGCTCCGACAACGCGCCCACGCGGTACCTGGTGAACGACGCGTGTGTGCTGGCGGGGAAGCCGCTGGTGTCCGGCAGCGCCCTGCGCCTCGAAGGGCAGCTCGTCGTGTACAACTACGGCGGGGGGCCCTGCTACCGCTGCCTGTTCCCCGAGCCGCCCCCGCCCGACACCGTGACCCGCTGCGCCGACGGGGGCGTGCTGGGGGTCGTGCCCGGCATCATCGGCTGCATCCAGGCCCTGGAAGTGATCAAGATCGCCTCGGGAATGGGCTCCTCCTTCAACCAGTTCATGCTCATGTTCGACGCCCTCGAAGGGAGGTTCCGCAACATCAAGCTGAGACCAAAGAAACCAGACTGTGCCGTGTGCGGGGACAACCCCACCGTCACCTGCCTGCAGGACTACGAGGCGTTCTGTGGTTCTTCTGCCACGGACAAGTGTAGGGCTCTGCATCTGCTGCCCAGCGAGGACAGGATCTCGGTAGAGCAGTACAAGAAAGTGCTGGATGACAGGGTTCCTCACGTGCTGCTGGATGTCCGCCCGCAGGTGGAGGTGGATATCTGCCGCCTGGAACACGCCGTCCACATCCCGCTGAGCAAACTGGAAGAGAAGGATGAGGAACAGCTGGAGTATTTAGAAAAAAGAATTCGTGAAGAGAAGCAGAGAACTAATGACCAAGCATCTCCTCCTGTATATGTTGTTTGCAAATTGGGAAATGATTCCCAGAAGGCTGTAAAAATCCTGCAGGAGCTACCTGCCAAAGAATCTGGTTCTGTGTTAGCAAAGGATATTAAAGGGGGGCTCATGGCCTGGGCCACTAAAATTGATCCAACATTCCCTCAGTACTAGAAATTTATGGTGAAAAAACCACACGTTTTCCTAGTAGGTTGCATAGGTTTTCATCTTCTCTGTGTAATGACTATATCACATGAAAAAACCAGAAATGCCATGTTGCTTTTTTATGTTACTTTTTTTTCCAAAAACGCTATGTATTTTTCTAGATGTTTGATTTTTTTTTTATAAAGATATGAATCTGTCCATGGGAATGGAGAGAAATGTGTTTCTTGGTTATGATTTAATAGTAAAAACTTGGTATAACTACTGAATTGTGCATGTAATGATTGAGAATGGCTCCTAATTACTAATTGTAACCTGAAAATGACAAAGCTCAGGAATCATGTTTTTACTCAATCTCCAAACTCCTTTGCAGATGGAAACAGTGCATAAAGCAATTTAAAAAAATAACTGTTAATCTCTAGCTGATCTGTACCACTACTAATCTGTCACAGGGAATTGCCAAGGCAGCACTGATGAGACCATTGTGGTCAACATCTTTTAGTTCTCTGTAGGAGCCTTGTGTATTTATGGCAGAGAAGAGCACCTACAGCAAGGGGGTTGTGCTAAGAACTTCCAGAGCCAGCCATCCCCACTGTGGGCTGGCAAAAAAAGTGGATTCTCCAACTTGAATAGAGAAACTGAGATTAGCTGTTAATAAGATGTAAGTCTGACCCCAGGAAGTTTGTAAAACAGACAGAAAGTGCTTTTGTCAGTGCTTAGATTTCAGAGGTTGAGAGATAAGGGGTGGGAGGGGAGAGGAAAAAATACATATTTATCCTCCCTTCTGCAAGGGCAAAGACCTATTTCCTAAGTTTTCTCCCTGTTTGGCAGTTGTATCTCCCTATTTGTGGAGAGTTCTGCACATCTGAGAAGTATCTGCAGTTGAACTGAATGAATAGAAAGAGAAATAAATAGCTTCTCAACAGAGCTGCCTGAGGCCTCATCACTTCAGCATAGTAATTATCTCCTTATATTAATTAAGGTATGAATTTCTTTACTTCCCAAGGAGGAAAAAAACACCTGTCATGACTTATTCTTCACATTGCATCTGGGGGAAAAAAAAGAAAAAGGGTAGTGCCATTATAACTAGTAGTTGAAAAGATATATTTTAGTAAAATAAATTTGAGAACAGCCACACTCCTGCTTTATTATAACATGCCATGGTTCTGGCAATGACAGTCTTGTGAAGGAAGGAGGGATGTGAGTTTATGAACAGAGTTGTGTCTCACTGTTTACAGGACAATCAAAGTATGGAAGGACATGACTTATAACCAAAGTTTTAGTGTTTGTGGTGTGTGCTTTTCAGATGGACAGTGGAGGCTCAGCTCAACCAGAATGTTTGGGTCCTGGTGGGTGCCTCTTTCTGGGAATTGGAAACCAGAGGGACTTGTTTGAAATGCCTGACCTGTGTTTTCATTTTTCTGTCTTTGCTGTGATGTCAAGGAGAGACTGGAGCACTAAAGGCAGCAATAGCAGTAATTCTGAAACACCCACAGCGGGGTGAGGGGTGTCACACACCCATCTACTCCTGAAAAAGGGACACCTTTCCAGTCACTCCAAGCAAGGTGAACCCAAGGACCTGGAGAGAAGGGAAAGACTTGGATTCTAAATCTAAGTGGTGTGAAGCCTTTTCCCTTGTTACAGCTTTTTTTGCCTGTGTGTTGTCCTGAAATGTCATGTTCTCTGCTGATGTTCTCATCCCTTCCCAGGACTCATTAAACTATCAATAAAGCAGGAGTTGGACTCTGATCCTTGAGGGTCCCTTCCAACTCAGCATATTCTATGGCTCAGGTTAAACATTTAGCAGCAAGTGTTTGCCAATTCTGGGACAGAAGAAGGAGAATATTTTGTAGCAAATTTAAACGTGAGTTTCTTGCAGTGCATTTTCAAGCAGGAATCCAGACTGTGAGTCTTTATAGGAAACAGTCAACACCCGGAGGTTCTGGAGAATTCTGTGGAAATTCAGTGATAAGGATGAATGAAAATGGGCCCAAACCAGACTGATATCAAAACTGGCAGGCTGATGAGAGACAAACTTTCGAGGATGTTTTCTATTAAAATGGCTTTTTGGAAAGACCATTCTTACCATTCTGCAGGGACCAATGTCCAAAGCTCCTACAGGAGTGCAGCATCTGAAATGCATCTGTGATTTTTACATAAAGAGAGTTCTATACAGAACTAATTAGGCATACAATATAGAGGAGGGTATTTTATAGAGGAGAGAAAGAACTGGTGGCTCAGTTCTGCTCTCAAGGGAGTATGCAAAACGTAGGTTTCTTTGGAAAAAAAGTTCTCTTCCTTGACTTAGAGTAGCAATTAAATCCTCAGCAAATATGGAAACATCTTCCATGTCTCTCAGACAAAGCTGGAGTCCATAGTGCTTGTCAAATTTCACTCTTTACATGCTAGGGATTTTATTTTATCTTATTTTTTTCCCCTTGGCTTGCTAAACTGACACACAGGTCATCCTGTAAGCACAGCCCTCAGCAGTGCTGGGCTCTTTGAAGATAAGCTGAAAAATCAAGGATCATAAAATCATATCTAAGCACCAAACCATTCTTATTATTGCAGACTTATCTTTTATTTTGACGTGCTTTAATTCCCGAGCTCTATAAAACACCTGGTGGTTTCTCTACTGCTAGAGAAACTCTACTTAGAAATTCTAAGAGGTGCAATAAAACTTTATGATTCTGTAATGCTGCCAAAGTCCTGTCGAAATACTGGTGGGTGTTGCCGTTGTGAGCGAAGAGAAGGTGCTTTGGCCACGGAGCTCTGATGCTCTGGGATGTGTTACCAGGAGAAAGAAGGTTGGGCAGCACAGGGGGTTTATCTCCTTGTCCTTCCCTCCATGTCACAAGGTTGCCTTTTGCCTTTTTTTGTTATATTCTCTTTAAATGCCTTCCTAGGATTTGGCACAGGAACAGCTCCCACCTCAGGGTTTGGGGGGGGATCCACAGTGGCTGCTGCCTTTTAATGTCTCCCATGTGTTGCTCTCTGGGATGGCTGCAGTTCATTTCTAATCCTGTTTATTCCTGAGCCATGGGTGGTATTTTAAGGCAAAGCAAATTGAGTTGGTCAAGCTTGTAGACCAGTCTAAAACATGCCTACAGTTTTTGTACTAATGTGCCTTGATAACCTGGCAGAAGTCTCTGTTATCTCAAAACCCCAATAAATTCACCACTGACCTGCTATCAAAGCGTAGGATTTTTTAAAAATCCCCTAACAATTAATAGGAGTATTTGTAGACAACTGTATAGGGGATGTAGTCAAAACTGGTCCTCAAAGTTCACACACCAGAATTTTAGGCATGTGAGCATCTTGATTGTTATTACCCTATTAGAAAGCATAATTTCTAATAGAAATTTAGCTGTTCAAAACAAAACTTTGCACTAGATGCTTAAAATACTCCAAGCACAAGGTTGTGTTGTTTTTTTTTTAATATGAAAACTTAGAGCTTTCTGAAACTACAGAAAAAATAATGTGAAGGCTGTGTGCTAGGTGGCACTGCAAGTTAATAAACCACAGCCATCCCCAGGCTATGAAAGGCAATTCAAGCTTAGAAAGAGCTGGTTTTGAACAGCTCTTTTGAAAGAAGACGAGGGAAATTGAATAAATTGGAGATTAACACCTATTAGGGCAGCAAAATTTGGAGCACAATGTGAATGGCAGGAGAACACACACATGAATTGGCTTGTGGTATTAACCTTCTGTGGGTTGTGTTACTTGGTTAAATATACCAACCCCTTTCCTTACCTCACTCTGCAGCTTCAGTTTCTTGGTGGGGAAATAAATACGGTGCAGGAAAAGCAGTACTTGATTGGAGGCCTGGTTAGGAAGGAAGGAGACAAAAAGATTTCCCAGAGCTTTCTCCTCCAGTGACTCAGTTGTCCAGAAGGGCAATGGTTTCACGAACAAGGCAAAAGACAGAGGAGAAATGCAGAGTCTCTGCTAAGTTTTGGCTGCACTCCTGGGCAAGTCACTCTTTCCCCAGTCTCTGCTGTGTGCCCACTGTGTCCTCAGTGACCAGATTCCAAGGAAGCAATTTAATAAGCATGTTGTTCTGGAACAGTTCTAATAGCTCAGATTCATGGGTTATGGGACTTGGACAAGGCAGGGGGGTATTGCAATGACAAAAGCTTGGCCATTTAGAGCACAAGTCCATTCTAATCTGTGTTGTGCCATACAGCAGCACGCTCTGTACTCTCCATACAGCAGCAAAGGGAAGGGAAAATGCCCTCTTTGCCTGTTCTCTAGTCTTTTATCATTGAACAGGTTCATTTGATCATCTTCACAATATATTTCAGGTGACTGATTCAGCTGATAGTCAAAGCCAACTGAAACATATCCATGTGATGGTGCTGCTCTGACCTCTTGTTCTTTCTATTGTGAAGTGCTTGCAAGTCTAATATTTCATGCTCATGCTAAGAACAAAAAATAGCTTCCCTCCAAAATGATGGCTGTCATCTGAATCTTATCAGAAAAGCACATTGGTAAGAGTTCAGTCCAGTCCTGCTGTGGTACAAGTTTCCCAGCCAGAGAAGAAGCTACTCCTGGTCTGCATTAGGGCTGCTCAAAGTGATGGTGTCTGTTGAAAACCAGAGTCAGGCTGCAGCTTTAGCCAGAACCAACATCTGGGAAACATGGCTTAGGCAGAGCAATCCAGGCTGGAATGTGCTGTCCATGGCCCAGCTGCCAACCTCCACCGGGGCCTTGATGGGGGGGTTCACTGTGGGATTTGCTGCCCTGCCCCTTTGCCATCAGTCCCTGAAGGGAGGAGCCAGCAGTTGGATGTTCTTGTGGCTTCTCCATGCCCATGGCACGAGGCCCTGCTGTGCCAGGAAGCCGTAGTTTGGTTCACGAGGTGTTCGTGCTGTTGCTAAGAGACCAAATCCCTGCCTTGCAAAGAAAGGTTATTTCCAAATTTGAAATGGCTCTGTAGATATTTGACTGGGAAATGAATGAACTCTCTTAGGCAAAGGGGCATTCACCTGTGGTGAAAGGGGTCCTGGAATCACGGGGTGATTTGGGTTGGAAGGGACCGTTTAAGATCATTTGCTCCAAAGCCCTGCAGTGGGCAGGGATACCTTCCACTATCCCAGGTTGCTCCAAGTTTATCCAACCTGGCTTGAACACTTCCAGGGATGGGGCAGTCACAGCTACTCTGGGCAACCTTGCCAGGGCCTCACCACCCTTATTGTAATAAAAGTCTTCCCTATAGTTATTCTGAATCTACCCTCTTGTAGTTTAAATCTGCTACCCCTTGTCCCAC